GTGTTCTAAATTTAGCCATTAGATTGCAACAGGACAGGTGTCTACAACTATGGAGTTCATTTTTATTCGCGCTTTTTTTCAGAGAATGAGTGACAGTCGTATTCACAGTCGTGTTGGTTGGTAACTTTTTGTTGCACTTTGATGAAAACCACACAAGCGTATAATATGGAGTTTTTCAACTTGTGGCGCCTGATGAGTATTTTAATGAGTGAAATATAATTTCAATTAACGTATATCATGCAGTAACGTTTGCAGTAACAGAAATGGCATTCATGAAATATATATACTTTCATGATTGTTTGTTGCAATCATTACTTGGTTCAGGCTCTTGTCCATTATAGAACGAAATAAAAAAAAGTGGATATGCATTGAAAGTACAAATACATGAATCTCAATCTACGGACAAAAAGTCCCTACGAGCTGAATAATTTATCTTCATCAAACTATTTCTATCATAAGAGTAACATAACTTTCGATTATTCAGAATTCAAATAAATTTTCAGAGTAGAAGAAAATACACGAAACAACAGTTAAAGTTGTTATTCGCTTAGTTCATGAATAAATAATTTTTTTAGAGGGAAAGAAATTGTAGGATTGGGTAGAAAAGGCTCAAGATATGGGAAGCATTCCAGATATTCGAGTTTTATTAAAGAGAACATCAGTGAATATCATGTTCACAAAGAATAAAGAACCCGTTCCGGAATTTCAATATCCGATGCAGTGGAAAGACGACATACTGCAAATAATACGAATACTCCTTATTGCTTTCTTGAATAAACAATCGCACAATTATGTGCAAGATCTGAATCGGAGGACTAAATTCGATTGACTTAGGTCACGATAAGCTTATGCAGGGAAGTAGTCTATGACAATCACAACGGTTCGGTTCACTAGCTTCGAAACACTTCAAACGTCATAAGAATAGTAAGAACTCCCGCCATGTCTGATCTTCAAATTTCATAAAGAAATATACGTACTTCTTTAAATAACTACACCATTTTCAATTGTATTTCAGAATAGGCAATTGGACTATTTTTTTGTATTTCAATGCAAACAGAACATAAGCATTCCTTTTCTCTAGAAAAGCCGACCTCAATGTGCCAAACACAAGCTTGTCAGGAGTAACCATACATTTGAAGACATCCATTTCGATGCATGGTATTACTATCAGCAATAACCTTTCACGTGAGATAAACTGCTAAAAGTGCATCCCAAAAACTTGGTTTTCTGTTTCACTTCCAGTCAGCTGCTTATGATCTATAAGGCACAGATCCGACCTGTCCTGGAATACTGTTCCCATATTTGGAGTGCAGCACCCAAACATACCCTGAAACTGTTGGATCCTGTCCAAAAAAGGGCAATTCGTCTCGTGTGTGATGCCTCGCTCACAAACTCACTCACTTCTCTGGAACACCGTAGAAAAGTTGGCGATCTGGCTCTATTTTATGGATATTTTCATGGACGATGCTCTTCGGAAATATTAACAATTGTACCTCCCTTGGGAGTCCCCGCGAGATGAACCCGTCGAGTTGAGGCTTCGCACCCCTTCTTGGTCACTTTGAAGACCTGCAGAACATCTTTTTCCAAGGACTCGTTCATCCAACGAACAGCGAGGCTCTGGAACACATTGCTAAGGAAGGTGTTTCCCGAGGCATATAACCTCCAGAAATTCAAGGAGAACACCAATTTCTACCTCATTTCCCTTGGTTCTCACGATGTTCTCTGAACATTACAGGATTTCCCTTTTCGTGGGAACCAGAAAATAAAAAAAGATAGAATCATCACTCGATTACCTTTCAATTTCATATTTTATTGAATTTATTCAACGTATCGCCAAATGGCGGCAATCACGGTAATTTTTAAATGAGCTCCATAATTTCGAACAAGACATAGGCTTATTATTTACATAAGAAGCGTGAGAAGAGTTGCAAAAATTAATTCAGGTCCCTTACGACACAGTGGAGTAATTGGATGCCAATATTTCGATATCAATATATTATTGTATTTCAGAATTTCAGAAAGTGTCATTTGTTTGATATCAGAAAATATCATAAGAAATACAATCGACGCTCTCTGAAATTTAATTGACAATTCCTGAAATAGAACTGGAAAAGTTGTGAATTGATATTGTGAAGTGTGTCAACGTATACTCAGTCCAATAGCGACCTACCACGGGACTTGACCATTTCGTTATGATCTGATAAAATTGTAATGTCGCGGCCTATTACTATGCAAATAAAATGTAAAATCCTCACGTCAATGGAAGAATTCTTTAAATTTGCATGTTAATGAGTATCATAAGTTTCGTTATGAAACGACATGACAAAATTCATGCCTGTGACGAATGAGAAGAAAAATGGAGAAATATAGCGACAACTTAGGTATGCTAACGTCAATATTTACTGTTTCTGTGTGATTTTATTTGGAATACACACGAGAAACGCTTACGGTTCGTTGAGGATAAGAGGTGTTTCAGTGGAAAAAATACAGATGATGATAAATAAATATAAACAATTTTTGAACTCCTTTCGCCAATTACAGAGAGAAAATACAAGATATCTCAGAGATATACGATTTGTTTTTCAACTCTGTGACACTTGACTCTCGCTGATCTTCTAGTGATCTTTTACATAATTTCGACTTTAATAGTTATTCAACCAGCTACAAATTCCAATTGTAATTCAGACAGTATAACTTGTTATTCAGAATTATAATTCAGAAAGCAACAATTGTTATTCAGAATGGTTTATTATGTGGTGAACATCAATATTTTATATGTATCGACTAACGGGCATATCTTGAAATACCATACCTACAGCATGGAAAAATGATCTACAGGGTGATTATAACCCTCCACAAGAAATGAAATGACGAAATCCAGGCGTGAAAATGGAGACACATGTTGATTTCCATTTGGGCTGAAGCATTGCAAATGTGAGTCTTACTTTTATTTGTGAAATTTTCGCGTTGCGAAGTAATTATTTTCGAATAAATAATATTTGTTGTCAAACTTTCGTTTTTGCTTACAATTTATCGTTTTTTGAAAAACTCTGTGGAATTTAAGTGTGAGGAGAATTTTGAATTCACAGTTGACAAAAACCATATACAGGATGAACTTTTTGATAAAAACTAAACTATCGAAATTTTTCAAAAACGGTCCTAGATTCTTCCGATTCTGAATAGGTCTGTCGATTAGGGTTCAGTAGAGGAATGGAAAGTTATGACCAAAAGATGTTTTTGCTAAATCTCATAATTCACCCTATATATGGGTAAAGAAGAGAAGAATACACTTTCTGATGGCCTCAATTTGTGGTAGGAGTATGTACAGTTCCTCATGACTCACCCTGTATGAGTTAATTTAGTTGCCCGAATATCATTGATACCATGGCATGATTCAGAAGTTATACATGCAACAATTCTTCATTTTATAAATTTACACTTTCAAGGTCAATTACTTCCTAACGAAGAGCGATATACATTTTGTTAGAGTTCGTCATGTTATCTTTGATTGATTCAATTCAAGAAAACAATAAGGAATACGCATGATTTTTTGTTTAATCGAAATTATATTCCTTCTTCCTTATAATAACACTTGATATCATTCATCAATCTCAAATTTGCTTGTGACTCTAACAAATTTCATTTAAATGAGGCTAAATATGAAGTCACAGGAAAACGGGTTAGTGGCCATCACTAATATTATGACGTCATAGTATTAGGCCGCACAGCCATAGACTAGCGCGACAGAATGACAAGATTCAGATTGAAAAAAAAAAAGAAGAAGAAGAGGTAGGAGAAGAAAACAGTTTCAAACGCCAGAAATTTGAAATTTGAAAATGGAAAATGATAATGTTTATACCATTGTCTGCTAAATATGGAGAAAAAATCTAAATACTGCCTAGTGCCGTAATGCCTTTCATCAACAAAAGTATCGCCAGGAAAAATATTCCTTTCATTGCCAGTGGGATGGAGTGATAAAAATAAAGAGAAAAGAAAATTATGGTTGCAAGCCATAAGTAGAAATGATTTATCCGAGAAAACCAGAGGATTTGTTTGTGAAGACCATTTCGAAGTGAGTATACGTTCAAGTATGTCCTAGTGAAACCCATTATATATCAATGATTATGTTCCTCATGTTATTAGGAGAATAATATAATATGTGATTTCGTTTTCAGCTTGAAGAAGATATGGAAAACTATATGAGATATAAATTGATAGGTGGTAATATTTATTTGAAACAAAATGCAAAAAGAAGTCCTGTTTGATCCTTCTTATTGTAGATATTTGCTTATTATTCAGTTATTATTATTCAGGAAGTTATTCAGAATATTGAGATCACATAATTGAGATAGATTATAGAAACTACAAGCTCAGATAATCATAACCTCACTGTCTCTTCTTATATTATTTTCAATCTTTCGGACATGAACATGCAGCCATGGTATTCTCCTTCTATATTTTCCCATGAATGTTTGACATGACAAATAATATAATAAAAACAGCCACATCCAGTCGGAAATCATCGCTGCAGTTCGGCTGTTGGTCGGAAAGTTGCGAATATTATGATTTTCAATCAGACATTATTAAATATTCGGTGCTTGATAATGTTTTTCGGATGTATAATTCGATATCTTTACATATGAGTAATGAAACAAAAATATATTCCAGTGTAAAGTTTTCACACGCGTATACCCTATTGATCACTTATTATTATCTTCAGTAATTTGTCATGTTATGAATTTATATTATTGAAAAGTCATTGAACACTCCATATTTTAGTCCTTTTGATATCGAATAGCTACCAGGTAGCTGTTGTGTGTTGTGTACATTTTGTGGCGACCGTGACATGACTACTTGAAGAAATGGAGAAGATACAGAGACTTAGAGAGATTTATAGGATATCGTTTGAACGAGTTTATGAAGCTATAATTATAGAATTGCAATCACTGGATCCCGATTTCAGTATGATCCAAGGGAATTTTCGTCTTCTTGATCAGAAGATGGAGTCGATTGCAGATTTCGATAAACAAGTTCTCGATTTGATGCTAGATGAAGATTCCATCGAAGAAAACATCGATCTTGAAGTTGGGAAAGCTGATGAATTAATGAGCAAGTACAACACTCCGAAGTTCAGAGTAGAACCACGTATGAGCAAGGACTGCTTTGTCGATAATCCTAGTGCCGCTTCAAGTGTCTCGAGTCATATCAGTCATTTGAGGTCAGTTTTGAAGCTTCCTAAAATAGAATTCACCAAATTTGGTGGAGATATCAAGGACTGGCTGCAGTTTTGGAGCCAATTCAAGAGAATTAATGACGATGAGAGTTTGGAAAACGAAGACAAATTTCAATATTTGATACAGGCCACCATACCGATATCTCGTGCTTACCAGCTGGTGAAGAGTTATCCTCCCATTGCGGAGAACTACCCTAACGTAATCGATAGTTTGAAGTCTCGTTTCGGCAAAGATGAACTCCTGGTGGAGTTTTATGTTCCAGAGCTCTTGAAATTGGTGTTGAACAATTCGAACACGAAAGTTTCTCTCAGTACCCTTTTCGATAAGGTTGAATCACAACTGCGAGCTCTGGAAACACTTGGCGTTACATCTGAAAACTCCATATCATTTACGACTGGACCTTTATCGGATTCCCTGTATATTCCCACTATTTCAGTTTTCATCCTCGGAAATTGAATCCATCTTTTAAGCTTGTTGAAGAAGTTACGAATACTTAACCGGCAATACCTAGTTGTCAGTAGAACACTGACTACTTAAATCTCGCTCATTGGAACTTAAAATATTCGTACCTATTCCAGCAGTGACAGATAGACATGTTCGTAAGCCTCTTTCCACTTAATTTGAATAATTAGCTGCAGGAAAACAAAGTGGAACTGGTTACGACACGTCTGGAACTGGAAAGTGGGGTTATAAATTGTTCGTAATGAAGGTGCGAGAGTGGATTGTAGATGAGGCTGACATGGCTGAATGTGTTCAGCAATTATCATCTGAGGTAATAATACGAGTCTTTCAAATTCCACAAAGCTTCATTCAGCATGAAAATCCCTTTTAATTTTTAGTTAGTTATGAAACAAATGAATGATAAGGTTCAGATAGGCAAGGCATAGGGATAAAGTTTTATTTGGCGAGGTTCTGTTTTTAAAAAATTCCAGAATATTCTGACTGTCATCCATCATATTTCAAATGGTCCAAATGGAGTCTTTTGAATCGACATAATTATATTTTTAATTAGAGGATAGGGGTGCAGATGTTAGCTTATATATACGTGGCATCTCTAATTGGATATAAACGAGTGGCAAAGCAAATTCCATCTATAGCTTGTGCTTTCAAATTTCCCTGCGAAAAGATATTTTGAATCACGGTGGTCAAAGTTGCAGATGAAATAAACAAGAATGAAATAGAAATGCACCACAAATGGGATCCCGCGTCACAGCATTCATGTTAATTAGAATTTCTCTGATACCGAGATATCTTTCAAAGTTTAACTCTCATGAAGCAAGGAAACAACTTCGTATAGAAATTTGTCGAAGCTAGACACACAATGAATAATATCACATTTGAATTTATATGTGGAAATTTCGAAGTAATCAGTAATTTTCAGCTGCATATAATTATTTTATTTTATTTTATTTGTATGTAATCTTACAGAAATAAATCCAATAATCGATTACAATTATTTCCTTGAGACTAATCAGATTTCAGTGAGCAGAGAAACGTTATCTATAGTGGTAAATAAGAAAAGAAAAGTATATATCAAGTAATTCAGTTGTGAAAATGTGAAACGAATTTTACCTAACCCAAATACATAATGCTACAATACAGACCTAGAATGTTTTAAGTTGTATGATGATATGCAGTAGATTATTAATTTGATTGACTTATATTATAATATGAAAATGTTCTTTGCTTAAAAACATTGAACGTTTTTCGATAGATGTCCAACTCCAATTCATTTACCAGTTTACAAATCCTATATACAGGAGCATTCAAACCAAGATTCGTTTTCGGTCTTGGCAGAAAAAATATGGGGATATCTCTATTAACATAGTGTGCTTGAGGACGAACTAACTTTCTTGAAATTACCGGGCAAATGGCTTGTCCATTAACTAATTCATGCAAGAATAGTACCGATGCTATTTCTCTTCTATGTTCTAATTTAATTAATTTAAACTCATTCAAAAAAGTTTTATATGGTATATCAAAATAATACACTTTGTGTTTTTTATAATAAAGGTACCTCAAACATTTTTTTGGACCTTCTTCAATTCGTTTTTATGACGCTCGTAAAAAGGAGACCATACTGCCGAAGCATATTCCAATATGCTTCTTACATAAGCATTATACAAGAAACACAATGTTTTTAAGTCATTGAATTTGCAAGAATTTCTTATTATAAATCCAAGTAGTTTGTACGCCCTTTTAGAGATATTATCTATGTGTGTATTGAAGTTCAGTTCATTATCCAAATAAACACCCAAATCCATAGCTCCAGTGTTTTTTTGTAAGGCTGTGTCATTCAATGTGTATGTAAAGTCCACTTTAATTTTTCTTTCTAGTAAATGTTACGGAGAAACATTTTCCAACATTGAAGTGTAGGTTTGTTTTTTCGCATAAACCTTCGAATCGTCAGCGAATAATTGGCATTCAGAAGTTTCAAGTATATCCGGTAGGTCATTTATCATGCACAAGAAAAATATAGGCCCTAAGTTTGACCCTTGTGGTACTCCTGAATCTGTGAAATATTCACAAGATGTACCTCCTTTATATACTACATACTGTTGACGATCTTCGAGATAGGATGCACAGAGTTTCAACAAATTATTAGAAAATCCCAATTCAGACAACTTACTGAGAATTATATCATGGTCAACTTTATCGAACGCCTTTGCGAAATCTGTGTATATGACATCTATTTGACCATTGTTATCGATCTCTTCATTGATTGATTGTGAAAAACTCAATAGGTTTGTCAGAGTTGATTTTTCTGAAATGAATCCATGTTGTTTTTCTGATAATTCTAGATTAATATAGTCAAATATTTTCACATATAACAAAGATTCAAACAACTTACTTGGAGCACAGATTAATGCCACTGGTCTGTAATTGGTGATTTCATTTTTATTGCCACCTTGAAACAGCTAGGCCAATTGAAACGATTTTAACGAATCTGAAAGATATAGGTTAGAATGCTTCTTCTTCTTTTCCTTATGTTGACATGAGCAGGTCGTAAGTCAGAATTCTCAACCCTTATGCTACTAGTAGGTATCATAAGGGTTAAGAATTCTGACTTACGACCTGCTCATGTCAACCTAAGGAAAAGAAGAAGCATTCTAACCTATATCTTTCAGATTCGTTCGTTTCAACCACGTTGGATTTGAAAATTCAAACTTATTCATGAGGTAATAAGTAGCCTCTTATCTAACCATGATTATAACTAAATAATTATGTAACTTGTTTTTCGTCTCTTCAGTATGTTATTTTTAACAATCCGAACAATTTCCGAAAGCTCGGACAAACTTGAATGAGTACACATTTTCTATTGCTGATGCATCCCCACTAGACTACTATAGTTATATACATATATATACATATACATAAATATATGATCGAACATATTCTCTCACCTCTGCCAGGTGGTTCTTTTCACAAGACTCTAACGTATAAGTGCTACCTGAAAGCACTTGCGAATACGTTGCATTAGTTAAATTGCGATGATTTGTCTAGCGCATGATGGTCGTCATATTCATATACAGGGTGTCCTATAACGACGTACGATAAATTCTGCAGGAAGAACTATATAGGCTGATTGAAATCAACTTACCTCTATACCGAAGAAATGTATCTAACACTAATGAAATATTCCTATAAGTGCCCCATATCATTTTCTTGTTGATGTTCAACTGTTTTTCACAATTTGAAAAAAAGTTTTACATATAGTGTATTTCCATCTCAGAGCAGTGGAATAGAAATCGAGAGTTGGTGCGACCATCTTGTCCCTATCAGAATTGTCAGAATCGTTTTGTCATTCAAAAAGTTTGGTTTTGTTGGTCCACATGAAATGAATTCAATCACCTCTTGTGGTTTCTCTTTGAGTACTGCCACTACTGCTACTACTACGTAATATGTGTTGTAAGAAGCATATTACGCACGAATGGAAAATTCACCCGCGCTGCCGCGGTGCGGCTAGTGCGTAGTTCCATGAGTGCGTAATCGCTTTACAACACGCATTACGTACTATACTTCACCTTCTGTCATATAGTACATCAAAAAAGTTTGGACAAACAGTCTGAATATAATTCTTGACAGTTATGTCATCCGCTGTTGACGGCGATTCCGTGATCATGACATACCTATACTGGCGGAATAAACAAAAACTGTGCGATGTGCTTACTGTGCGTACAGAGCTACTTACTGAGGCTTCATCTCGTGTGTTCTTGCATGCCTATACTTTCTATAGTGGCCGTAGTTGAATGATTTTGAAACCTGTACATCTGAATAGCTTTGGACTGAAATAATGTTGAATCGATGAAGTAAGATGCAGTAAATCCTGCTTCAATAAGGTTTCAGGTTTGAGCAGACATGTTCTGGCCATTCAAATGGTCATCATCAGTCACAGAAGTACACCAAAGTACATCTACGATAGAAAACTATACTTGTTTCCAAATCCTACCAAGAAGAAAATTGAAAGTCACAGAAGTTATAGATACTAAATTGAATTAGTCAACAATTTCAGAAGTACAGAAGACAGAAATGCTGATTTTTGTTATAATAAAAGAATCACAATGTTATAACTCTTATGACTTTCCATTTTCTTCGAATTGAGTATGGTTTGCTATTGTAGATGTACTGTAATGGTGTGACGCAAACTACTTGAGCTTTGACATCAAAAAAACGAACTTACTCACCTTCAACTCTAATATCGACGATTTGTACTTGAATGGGCATTTTATTGAGAAAAAGAACCAATCCGAATTCCTGGGAATCTTCATCGATAATAGATTGAGATTTGACCAGCATATTTCAGCTTCAACAAAAAAACTGGCATCAGGATGTTATGCACTCCGAATTGTTTCAAATAAATTGAGTTCATCCACAACCAAAATGGTATATCATTCTCTGATTAAGTCTCACTTGAGATATGGTGTTGCTTTTTGGGGATTTTGCAGTCTACAACATTTTCATTCAGTGTTTGTCTTGCAAAAGCGAGCGATAAGATACTTATGCAAGGTGGGAGGGCGTGATCCATGTAGACCTTTATTCATTAGAGAAAAAATTCTAACTATCACTTGTATTTCCATCTGGAAACTGCTTGCCTGATATACAAAAAACATAATATGGTTGAAACTGCGAGACATACAAAACACGTAACCCGTCAAGCAACAGAAAATAAAATACCTCTTCCTGTTCCAAAAACAAGCCAGACAAAATATTCTTTAATATATGAAAGTAAAAATCTGTTTAACCACATACCGTATGAAATCAGGAAGGAGAATAGCTATAAAAAGTTCAGAAATCTTGTGAAAGAAGCCCTTGCAATAAAAGCGTATTTCAACCTTGAGGAATTTTACAATGAAACTCTGTTGTGATTAGTAGTTTCATATTGTCTTTTATTTAGCCTATATGTGGAGTCTGATTTTGAACTATAAAATATGTTTCTGATTTAATGACTTGTGAAC